GGGAACAGAAAAGTAACATTTATGAAGCAACAACAGTCTTATTCTCGTCATCCAGACAGATTCACTGGATGGCCTCAGGTCCTGAGTAGAGAGAGTCTGACTGGACGTTGTTACTGGGAGGTGGAGTGGAGAGGGGGAGAAGTCGCATACTGTGTAGCAGTCGCATACAAGAATATCAGCAGAGCAGGGTGGGGCAGTGAATGTGAATTTGGAAACAATGACAAATCTTGGGGATTACATTGGTACTCAGGAAGTTTTAAATTTCGGCACAACAATATCCGAACCGTCCTCTCAGGTCCTCGGTCCTCCAGAGTAGGAGTGTACCTGGATCACAGAGCAGGTATTCTGTCTTTCTACAGCGTCTCTGAAACCATGACTCTCCTCCACAGAGTCCAGACCACATTCACTCAGCCGCTCTATGCTGGACTTTTATTTTTTGAGGGCGTCTCTGCAGAATTCATTAAACTGAAATAAATGTCACTGAGGGACAGTTGATTAAAATGTGATTTAGTTTTGACTTTCCTTTGGTCTCCATCATTGTTGCTCAGACCACATTGTCACTAATGCCCACTTTGTTGCCTCTGACATGGGATCCCTCTCTACACTAGTCCATGTACATGTACATGCTTCCCTTAGGCAGTATTATTAGAGTGGATAGCATGTGGGCATATTCTCATTATTATGCAGTGAAATGTTGATTTACTTACAAAACAATGTTGGTTAAAATGTCTGTTCTAGTTTGCAGTTTCTTTGGTCTCCACATTTTTGCAGAGCACTCATCGTTGTGCAGTTTCCTGTCAGTCACACTTTACAGATACTATTTTGATATCTTATCATTTATTGTCTAATTAATAACTGACTTTGTTTGAACAAAGACAATTTTCATTACATTTACATATATTTGTGTTTGTTGAAATAATCAATCAGTTCAAGAAACAGCTTGCTTTGGGTTTTTTACATTGATAAATGCAACTTTTTATGCTCATTAATGAATTTGCAGTTATTTGGGATTAATTTTCTTTCACCTTTAATTATACCTACATATACATACAGCATACACTGATTTTATTAATTAATGTGTAGCTGTGTTGGTCATATCGTTATTTCCATGTCGTTCAAAATTAATAACTTGATTTAAATATCCTCTTTGGAGGCTGCTTAATTTAGTGCACCAACCTGTTTTATGCATAAAATTTTGTTTAGATCCACAATTGAACTTTTACTCAGATTCATAAATAGTTTTTGTATGATTTTCTTTCATCATTTTCAGTCACTGTTACATTTTGCACGAGTCTGATTTCTGCATCTGTTCACCAATGAATGCATGTCATTGGTCCACACTGTGTATAAGACAACCAACAGTTATGAATTAAAAACAAATCATTTTGAAATTTAAAACCTTTAGAAGACACTATATTATTTCCAATCAATTTGTGAGTGATAAATTGTTCATAGTGATACCCTGACTGTAATTAAATGATGGATTTAGCCACCATGCTGTCACGCATGGTTTTGGCCGCCATCATGTCAGTTTGTAAAACAAGAGCCTATATTTGGATGATAACTTGAAGTCTAAGGCTACGTTCACACTGCAGGCGAAAGCGCTTTCATTTCAAACAGCTGTTTGTAACTTTTGTCACTAGACTGATTCATTCGTCTGCATCACTTCTTGAAAAAAGCAACAAGTTAAAAAGAATGTGAACATTGCCAAACATGGAAAAATAAAGTTCAGTCTTAGTCTTATAAAAAAGAAATCCAGAAAATTGTGAACAGAGATGAAAAATATATAATTTAGTGAGAGTCTACTGTTCACTCTTTGGCTACGTTCACACTGCAGGCGAAAGCGCATCAAATCCGACTTCTTTTTTTTTTACTTTTTTTTTTTGACCCTATGTGACCCATATCCGATCATGGTATGACAGTGTGAACGGCACAAATCCGATCTGGGTCACTTTCGTATGTGGTACTGAATCCGATACATATCCGATGTTTTAGAAAGCGACTGCTGTTTGAACGGTCACGTCACATTAAATCCGTCTTTTACGTCACTGACACAAGACAGACGCCGATTATCAGCGCCGGAGAAGACATTGTGAACGCTTCCTGTCCATCCAGAGAAACTGTTGGGCAGACAATGTTGGAGAAACATGAACATTTTATTTGTACTGTATAATCTGCAGATTCTGAGAGAAATCTGCAACTATCCTTTGAAGCACCGCTCCTCTCTAAAACAGCAACAAGGATCATTATTAGGCCATCTGTAAATAACACAATAACTTTATAATTTAAAGCAAAATTGGGAAACGTAAAGTCTGAAACAGTCAATCAATACTTTTGCTCTGGGTCTAAACAGAGCGCATTGTGTGTGACGTCTTCTTTTGCACACGTGGGCCACTTTGAGGGTTCACACTAGAGCGTGTTTGCTGTCAGATTTTATCTGCAGTGTGAACAAGCAGACACAAAAGTCAGATTTGATCAAAAAAATCAGAATTGAGCATTAAGACCTGCAGTGTGAACGTAACCAAAGTTACAGTTAATCTCATGGTTAAAACTGTAGATATGAATCTAAATCTATTTGTAGCACACAGCAAACATGTTTAATTCTGATCTACAGTTGAACATTTAAACATGTTTTTTTGGGACTGACTCAATTTTGGAGCCAGCCTCCAGTGACCACTTGACACTCGTATTAATATATGTGAGTGTTTTTAAAAAGAGTATATTACGTCTGATTTTTCATCTTGACTCACTCTAAAAAAAGTGTCCATGCAAAGTTTTAGGTTATGTACAGAAACAGGAAATAAACCAGAATTCTAATATTAAATTACTGTCACGGAAATAAAGGGTGGAAACTAAAAAGCCTTTTGTTGCCTCTTCTTCCTTCTTGTATTTCTTTTTCTTCTTCCACCATCTATCCACTTCTCTCTCCCTCATCTAATTATTCATTGATGCTGTACAATGTTTTTTTTCCTACTCACAGCGTTAAGGAGGTTTCCGGCCTGCAGCACCAGGTGGAGAACAGCATGGAGCTCCTCGCAACACATTAATTCTGGAGGACGGAGACAAAGTAAAAGAAATGATGTCTTCATTTGTGTCAGTACAAATGAAGATAAAGCATCACCTGCTGGAAATAACTGTGTAAAAAGAGAGTAAAGAGGAAAAAAAGCACGAAAGGAAAGGAGGTGAATTAAAACACAAAACCTGTGCAGTAAAGATACAGATAACATAAGCTTATGGTGCTAAAATCCCACTGGGTTTGCTGTTTTATCACATGCAGTGTTAGCATGTGGAAGGTTAGTTAACAGTTCAGGCAGTTATCAAGTTCACACACACACACTGCTAAAAATACTGAAGGTGTTCGTCTGTATTGGGTGGAGGGTGTAAACGAGGAGAAGGCTTTACTGCAGGTATTTCTGCACCAACGACATTCAGTCCAGATTTATTGCGTTTTATTTCTTTTCATCTTTTTTATTATTATTTTATTTTTGTTAAAAAATATTCCAGAGTTTCATACACAGATCTCTTTTCTTTCTTTCTTTTTTTACAACTTCTGAATCAAACGGCTCACTCCTTCACTTAAAGGTGAAAGTACTGATTCTGAGACATTGTAACACAATCTGTGTAACAGAATCTGCTAAATCTGTGAAAGTGTTTCTAGAAGCTTCTTGGTTACACCTCTGCGTGGTGATTCTGAAGCTAAATGAATCCTGTGAGATCGATGTCATCACTGACGACGACCCCAAACAGAACCTTATGTTTGGAGTCAAGAAAAATAACTTTTCTGGAGGTTTTTAATGTTTTTGATGGATGTGAGTCGGTGCGATTTCTTTGTTGTTTGTTCATTGCCGAGACACAGAGATAAGGTTCATCAGCAGCAATGAGCTGCATCTCAGAGTGTAACTATAAACATGCTCTATGCAACTTTTAACACGTATTATTTATTGTATATTTGACCAAACCCCACTTTACCTCAGTGCCCTGATCCCAGTGTCAGGAGTCAAACGTTACTTTTTTTTTAAAATGTAAAATTAATTTTAAAAAGTTGATGAGTTTGCTCTAAAAAGTTTTACAGCTCCACCACCATCGTTGGTGTTCATGCCATTCTCTCAGTAATTTCAGTTCATACAACACAGATAGAAGCAGCCTGGCTACATAATCTCTACCTGCCTCCTGCAGCACATTTGCTTGTGGTATGGAATAAAACATTGTAACACACTCAGTGTTGGTTCTGGTCCTTCTCTGCTCTGCGTTGACACTGAGACAATAAGTAAGAGAAGAGAAAGCAGAGCTGGGGCCTGTGTGAGCTCCCAACAGCGGCTGCACGCAGAGAGCAGCTCATCCGTGTGCCGCTGATGCTGCGAGCGTGTTACCTTTAATGGCGGCGCGAAGGATCTTAATGTCCCGTTTCATGGCCTCGCACGCTGCCGGAAAATCCTCCTTTAAGAGCATGGATTCAATGCGGACTGTGTAACTGCAGACCAAGAGAGAGGGGTGAAAATGAATTGATTAATACATTTTTATTTTGCGTCCAAGCTGGTACACATCACTAAATACAGCTAATGCTACTACTTTACATACTCTCGTAGTAACTGTATACCAGCAGCTGGCAATTAGTTTGAACTGTGGGACTATTTTTAGCGCATCTCATTAAGGAGATGTTGTTATTGGTGTGTGGGGGAGCTGCAGGCATGTAATTGATTCAGCTTGATGTTTTTGAAATGATCTGAAGGCAGATGTCACATTACCAGCGC